TTTTTCTTGTTTTTTTTTCTTACCTGTTGCCAAAAATCGAAGAGTAACTAAAAGCCGGTCTTTGGGAGGTATAGCCAATCTCATTTTAGTATCCTGCTTTTGAATACTTGTTTGAATTAAAGATAAAATGTATTCAAAATCATCATTAGACATTCTCAGGAAATTTCAGCTGCATGGAGTCTTCGGTCCGCAATTCTTCAAGTAATGTATTTTGGAAACTTAAATCTACGCGCCGCAGCACCCAATTTCTCACCCAAACACTTCTTTTTGTTTTTTTTTTTAATTTGTTTCTTTTTAATTAAATATGCTGCGATGGCAGCTGCCAATCTTATTTTGCCACAAGACATTTTTATACTGTCATTCGTAAAAAAAGCAAACTACTGCAAGCTGTACTCACATTGTGTGGAAACACGTCTGCAATTTCTTGCAGCAAGTTCGTCGTGATAACTTCTACAAACTACTTCTGGAAGCAGACTTCCGTAAGTTTCGGTTTGAGTGGAAACACTTCAGCAAATACTTGCAGAAGTTCTTCCGCAAGTGACTTGCTAGTGGACACACGGCTTTAGTTCTAGTGCAAAATTAGAACTAACACTAGACCGAGAACTAGAATCATTCAGGTTTAGCCGTCTTGAGAGACGTGCGGCTAAACCCCAATGTTTCTAGTTCTAAGTCTAGTGTTTGTTCTAGTGACAGTGCTAAGTAGCGCTAGTTAACATTAGATATCACTGTGTTACATATTTTTATTAAATTAAAACTAGAAATAACACTAGACCTAGAACTAGAAAGTTTCTGGTTTAGCCGTGCGTCTGAAGACTGAATAATAGCGGTGAATAATCATTATTCACGGGTACTCAATTTGACAGATTAATAATAATTATTTGAAACGTCAATTTAATTTAATTTTTTTCAGACTTTCTAAAGGTGTGACATTAAAAAAAACGTAAACAAATTCCTTTTTTCATATGATTTAAGCATAAATTAATTAATTTTCTTAAAAAAGAAACATGACGTTTCATAGAATTGACATTTAATTTTGACAAATTGTTGTGAAAAAGTGTCACATTGACGTTTAAACTTTAATTATTTATTTTTTTTTTAATTTTATTTAAACCTGACGTTTCATAAACTTTATATAGAAAATTGCATTAAATCTCTCTAAGATTTCCTCCCAAAACACTGTTAAAATTGCGGTTTCTAGCTTTTTTAAATTATTATATACAGGGTGTCTCACTTAACTGGTTCATTAGAACTTTTTCAGGTTCCACTATTCGTAGAGAATTGAAATTTTGGTAGCATGGGTTGTTCAGTTGTCAATGTCATTTTTAATTTTATTATTATATTCGTAATCTTCATAAAAAATCCTTTAAAATAAGCCCAAACTCGATATATTTAACTTTAACATTAACCGAAATACAATCACTTCCGGTTTCAAACGTCAACGTCAATTTTGATATATTTGTCATCTTCATTAAAAAACCTTTAAAATGAGTCCAAAGATGACGCACTTATCTCAAAAAACAAAACAGTTAGAATAAAAAACATTAAACCCGAAGTTGGCAACAATGAAGACAGCAATTTAATTTTTAAATAATAATACCAACCTTAATTTTTAATTTTT